GCTGTAGTGTCTTTGGATTTAATAGGTTCATTGCTTTTAGCTTGACCTTTATTTCCTATGCTTTTTTACACGCGAGTCGAAAGGCTTTCGGCAACCTTAAGCCTTCTCTAATCTCCATCTGGATCTCTTATGAATCCAACAATTCACTCAAGCCAGCACCTAGTATCCAATGGGACCGAGGCAGCCTTTTCGAAAATTCCGCTCAAGCCAATACATTTGTGGGGCTACTCGATTCAGTATTTATGGCTTCTTATGCATTTGGGCTTTATGTGAGCGGTTGGATTGGAGATCGGTTAGATCCAAGACTTGTTTTGTCTTCTGGCATGTTACTTACCTCTTTGACGGTTTTCCTTTTTGGTGTTTTTACGGAGTGGATCCATTTATACAGCAAGCCGTTTTACGTCATCATTTGGATTTTTAATGGATTATTTCAATCGACTTGTTGGCCTTCCGCCGTTGCAATCGTCTGCAATTGGTTTGGAGAATCTCGCGGTGTTATATTTGGTCTCTGGACCGCATGTGCATCTGCTGGGAATATCTTCGGTGATCTACTAGTTGGTTCCATAGTTCCTTATGGGTATGACTATGCATTCGCTGTTCATTCTGCCTTGCTTATTTCCAATGCACTCATTGTTTATTCTGGTTTGATTGTTCATCCCAAAGAACTGAAAAATGTCGACACATCTGCTTACACTCCAATTGCCAGTGAGGAATATGAGGAAGAGATAGATGTTGATAATATTTCAGACACTGACTTAAGTCACACGCTGGCTGCTTTCTCAAGGACTAACGAGGATCGTGTATTATCCTTCCGTCAGGTTCTTCTCTTGCCTGGAGTCATCCCTTACTCGTTTGCTTACGCCTGCCTCAAGATGGTGAATTATGCATTTTTCTTTTGGTTACCACTTTACCTAGACTCAAATTTTCATCTGTCCCCCAGCATGGCTTCTGAGTTTTCTGCATTCTACGACCTTGGTGCAATAATTGGAGGTCTGGTCGCTGGGTTCTTATCGGATCTTCCTTTTCTCTTCCTATCTAGAAGCTGTGTAAATATAGGGTTTCTTTTATTTTCGGTTCCTGCTCTCATTGCATACAGTACTATTCCGGCTTCTCCTTTATCCCTTAATGCCTTTGTCTTGTTCTTAACGGGCTTTTTTACCGGTGGGCCCGCGACCGTAATAAGTACTGTCATTGGTGCCGATGTTGGCACTCGCCCTGAATTGTGTGGTTCAAAAGCCCTGGCTACTGTTACAGGAATCATTGATGGGACTGGTAGTGTTGGTGCCTCTGTCGGGCAGCTTCTCGTTCCCGTCCTAAAAAATGCATATGGATGGTCTTCAGTTTTTCATTTCTTCATTGCCTCTATACTTGTTGCCATAATCATGATACTTCCAATATACGTTAAAGAGCTTATTAACAATCGAGTTCGGATACGATCCCGACTGGAAACTACCTGACGGCTTTCAATTCAGATATCGGCATTGTTCTTTTCTTTTGTGGACCCTAGCAAAATCATGTGATCTATTCTCCCCCTCGTAGGCTCGCGAATATATT